GGGTTCCCTTTTCTCCACATTCTTGCCAATACTTCTTATCTCTTGTCTTTTTGAATCTGATGGCCATTCTGACAGGTGTGAGATGATATCTCATTGAGGTTTTGATTTAGATTTCCCTAATGATTAGGGATGTTAAGCATGCTTTCATGTGTTTTTTTGGCAGTTTGTCTGTCTTCTTTGTGAAAATGTCTATTCAGACCCTCTGCCCATTTTTCAATCAAGTACTTGGGGGTTTTTGTGTGAGTTCTTTACATATTTTTGATATTAACCTCTTATCAGATATATGATCTGCAAATATTTACTCCCATTCAGTAAGTTGCCTTTTAATTTTGTTGATGGCTGCCTTTGCTGTGCAGAAGCTTTTTAGTTTGACATAATCCCACTTGTTGATTTTACTTTTGTTGCTTTTGCTTTTAATGTCAGATTCAACATATCATTACCAAAACCTGTGTCAAGGAGCTTACCTCAAGGTTTTCTTCAAGGAGTTTTATGGTTTCAGGATTTATGTTCAAGTCTTTAATCCATTTTAATTTTTATGTGTAGGGCAGGATAGTGGTCCAGCTTTCCAAGCACCATTTATTGAAGAGACTGTCCTTTCATATTGCATATTCTTGCCTCCTCTGTTGTAAATTAGTTGACCATACATGCACAGGTTATTTCTTATAATACCATAAACATCTACAATTCTCTCAAAATAAAAATTTTTGATAAATGGCTCTTCCAGAAAACCCTTTATAGGCCCATTGCAAATATGATTTTCCCTCTCTTGGGAAAAAGATGGGAATAAATTATGGTGGGAATGATGATTTTCCAGTAATCTCACCAAGGTCTTTATACACGTTTCTCAGAAAAATTTCACATCAATACAACAAATGGAACGTAAAGCATTTTGTTTTCGGAGTTCCTATGTAAATTCGTTCTTCATAAGTTGTTCCAAGTTACTCTTTAAAGTTGTTGCTAAAAATCAAAAAGGAAGCTGCCCATTAGACCCACCTGGAAGAGGTTAGGTGTAACTCCTTGCAAGAGTATACCAGGTTACAAGAAATAATTTTATTCTCCTCGTAAAAATTAGGAAGTCAGATTGGCTCAGTCACATGGAAAAAATCTTCATGTCTCCATCACTTACGAAACTACAAATAAGGGGTGGAAACCCAGGTAACAATATTTTAATACTGTGTACCATTGTGTTTTAGTTTTGTTTTGCTTTTTTATTGGAATATAATCGCTTTACAATGTTGTGTTAGTTTCTGCTGTACAATGAAGTGAATCAGCTATATGTATACCTATATCCCCTTCCTCTTGGACCTCACTCCCATCCTCACCCATCCCACCCATCTATGTCATCAGAGAACCGAGCTGAGCTCCCTGTGCTATACTGCAGGTTCCCACTGGCTACCTATTTTACACATGGTAGTGTATTTATGTCAAACCTAATCTCCCAATTCATCCCACCCTCCCCTTACCTCCGTGTCCACATATCTATTCTCTACATCTATGTCTCTATTCCTGCCCTACAAATAGGTTCATCTGTACCATTTTTCTAGGTTCCACACATATGCATTAATATACAATATTTGTTTTTCTCTTTCTGGCTTACTTCCCTCTGTATGACAGACTGTAGGGTCCATCCACATCTCTACAAATAACCCTATTTCATTCCTTTTTATGGCTGAGTAATATTCCATTGTATATATGTACCACATCTTTACCCATTCATCTATTGTTGGACACTTAGGTTGTTTCCATATGCTGGCTATTGTAAATAGTGCTGCAATGAACATTTACAAGGTGCATGTGTCTTTTAGATTATGATTTTCTCATGATATATGCCCAGTAGTGGGATGGCTGGGTCATATGGTAGTTCTATTTTTAGTTTTTTAAGGAACCTCCATACTGTTCTCCATAGTGGCTGCATCAATTTACATTCCCACCAACAGTATAAAAGGGTTCCCTTTTCTCCAGACCTTCTGCAGCATTTATTGTTTGTAGATTTTTTTGATGATGGCCATTCTGACGAGTGTGAGGTGATACCTCATTGTAGTTTTTTTTTTTTGTTTGTTTTTTTTTTGCGGTACGTGGGCCTCTCACTGCTGTGGCCTCTCCCGCTGTGGAGCAACAGGCTCCGGACGCGCAGGCTCAGCGGCCATGGCTCACAGGCCCAGCCGCTCCGCGGCATGTGGGATCCTCCCAGACCAGGGCATGAACCCGCGTCCCCTGCATCGGCAGGCAGACTCGCAACCACTGGGCCACCAGGGAAGCCCCTCATTGTAGTTTTGATCTGCATTTCTCTAATTAGTGATGTTGAGCATCTTTTCATGTGCCTCTTGGCCATCTGTATGTCTTCTTTGGAGAAATGTCTATTTAGGTCTTTTGCCTATTTTTTAATTGGGTTGTATTTTTCATATTGAGCTCCATGAGCTGTTTGTATATTTTGCAGATGAACCCTTTGTCCGATGCTTCATTTGCAAATATTTTCTCCCATTCTGAGGATTGTCTCTTTGTCTTGTTTATGGTTTCCTTTGCTGTGTGAAAGCTTTTAAGTTTAATTTGGTCCCATTTGTCTATTTTTGTTTTTATTTTCATTATTCTAGGAGGTGGGTCAAAAAAGATCTTGCTGTGGTTTATGTCAAAGTATGTTTTCCTCTAAGAGTTTTAGAGTGTCCAGTCTTAGGTTTTTAATCCATTTTGAGTTTATTTTATGTGTATGGTATTAGGTAGTGTTATAATTTCATTCTTTTACATGTAGCTGTCCAATTTTCCCAGCACCACTTATTGAAGAGGCTGTCTTTTCTCCATTGTATGTTTTTGCCTTTGTTGTCATAAATTAGGTGACCACAGGTGTGTGGGTTTATCTCTGGGCTTTCCACCTTGTACCATTGATCTATATATTTGCTTTTGTGTAGGTACCATACTGTCTTCATTACTGTAGCTTTGTAGTAGAGTTTGAAGGTGGGGAGTCTGATTCCTCCAGCTCTGTTTTTCTTTCTCAAGATTGCTTTGGGTATTCAGGGTCTTTTGTGTTTCCATACAAACTGTAAAATTTTTTGCTCTCATTCTGTGAAGAATGCCATTGGTAGTTTGATAGGGATTGCACTGAATCTGTAGATTGCTTTGGGTGGTACAGTCATTTTCACAATATTGATTCTTCCAATCCAAGAACATGGTATATATTTCTCCATCTGTTTATGTCATCTTTGATTTCTTTCATCAGTGTTTTATAGTTTCCTGAGTACAAGTCTTTTGCCCCTTAGGTAGGTTTATTCCTAGGTATTTTATTCTTTTTGTTGTTGTGGTAAATGGGATTGTTTCCTTAGTTTCTCATTCTGAATTTTCATCGTTAGTGTATAGGAATGCCAGAGATTTCTGTGCATCAATTTCGTATCCTGCAAGCTTATCAAATTCATTGGTGAGCTCTAGTAGTTTTCTGGTGGCATCTTTAGTATTCTCTATGCATAGTACCATGTCTTCTGCAAACAGTGGTAGTTTTACTTCTTCTTTTCCGTTTTATTCCTTTTTCTTCTCCGATTGCCATGGTTAGAACTTGCAAAACTATACTGAATTAAGAGTGGCGAGAGTGGACATCCATGTCTTGTTCCTGATCTTAGTGGAAATGCTTTCACCATTGAGAATGATGTTTTCTGTGGGTTTGTCATATCTGGTCTTTATTATGTTGAGGTAGGTTCCCTCTATGCCCATTTTCTGGAGAGTTTTCATAATAAATGGGTGTTGTATTTTGTCAAAAGTTTTTTTTGCATCTACTGAGATGATCATATGGCTTTTATTCCTTAATTTGTTTATATGGTGTATCACACTGATTGATTTGCATATATTGAAGAACCCTTGCATTCCTGGGATAAATCCCACTCAATCATGGTGTGTGATCCTTTTAATGTGTTGTTGGATTCTGTTTGGTAGAGATTAAGGGGCAGTAAAAACACTGCTTTGGTTTCTAAATGTCTGGGTGTTCAGAAATTGCTGTAGTGCATGTTTTAAAATAATGAAAATTGGTTTCACCAAAGAAAGGAGGGACCCTTAACACAGCACATGCAAGGATGGGTCAGTTCCAGGGAAAAGAGTATTCTTCTATCTCCAGACAAAATGAACCACAGGGGTTTTCTAAGCCGATGTAATCTGTGTATAAATAATGCCATACAACGGATCATCTTTCAGTAAGACATCTTGATAGTAGGAGAGAGCAGACCTTGCCCTGAGGAAAAAATGCTCTGTTCAAGTTTAGGGTCTAAAATAGGTTCTGAGGTGAGGCTGGGGCAGGAAAGTGACCATATATGAACTATGTTCTATAAAATGCAAATGTGTATGCAAGAGGATGGAAAGACGTGTGAATTTAATGCAAAGAGACCAATGGCAAATAGATTAAACCCATTTTATTTGTCTGTGGTTTTTCAGTTACTTACGTAGAATTAAAATCAAGCCAAATCATCAGGTATGTTTTATTTAAAGTACCATGGAATTTATACCAAACTCCCATCATGTTTTATAAAAAGTAGTTTAAGTTCACTAAAAGGTACTCTTCCAACAGCCATATCTAAGTCATGGAATCACATTTAAATTAAATAGAGAGAATATATTTCAATGTCAGGATACTGTAATCATTTATTCTAGCCTTAATAGACTTTTTACAAATTATAACATTGAGGAGAAAATTGTTGAGAACATAATATTTGTTTAGGCCTCACAGAGCAAACACTGTTCTTCAATCTCACACAAAATCCTTGCAATTCTCAATCAATCTACAAACTAGCTGAGACATAACCATTGCTACTAAACAATACAAAGAAGCCAAGGTTTAGAGATACTAAGTGATTCATCCAAGGATGCTCACAGGAGAGCAGGGCAAGTTTGATGAGAACCCTGACTCCAAACTGCTTCCCTTTCTAATTCATCATATATGTATTCCCAACAAAAAGCATGAGAATCATAAAATACGACTTTAAAAATGCCCAAGGCTATCTTTTAATTAGTTTGCATAGACTTCATTTTCAAATGTTCTTAAATTTTTCATAAAAGGTTTCACTCAGTTGTTCAAATGCTAAGACCACGTTGTCCTCTTCATTTTCACATAGTTCACGCAAAGAAACACTGTAAATGGAAATACAGATACACATAAAACTCACCCATTCTACTGAGAGTCGGTATCATAAGAAGGGCTTTCCCCAGGGAGGTAGAACTAAGTAAATCCCACTAGATGATGCAATGTGAGCAAAATGAGGAAAAGAATCATAAGGAACATATTTATCGCAAAAACAAAGAAACATCTTGTCAACGAATCAATCAATCAAGGCAATCACCATGCAGTTCCCCTCCCTGTATTTTACCAAGAGGCCTTTTTTTTGTTTTGCGGTACGCGGGCCTCTCACCGCTGTGGCCTCTCCCGTTGCGGAGCACAGGCTCCGGGCGCGCAGGCTCAGCGGCCATGGCTCACGGGCCCAGCCGCTCCGTGGCATGTGGGATCTTCCCGGACCGGGGAACGAACCCGTGTCCCCTGCATCGGCAGGCGGACTCCCAACCACTGCGCCACCAGGGAAGCCCCCAAGAGGATTTTAATGGCCACCAAGTCCCATGTAACCAGATCCCTCCTCCCTTCAATAACAGCAACACAAATCCCTTTCTTTTTCCCCACATTTTTTTTTATGGAGTCATTTTGTGGTTTTATTTTTCAGTATATACTTAAACCCACAGGCGACTACCTCCACAAAAAGCAAAACAATCCTCCCTTTACCTAGATGTATGAGAAAATTAAGAAAACAGGGTGTGATAAACAAAATAATGGCCCACAAAGATATCCATGTCCTAATCCATAGAAATTTATAAATCCTTAGGTTACACGGCAAAGGAGAATTAAGGCTGAAAATGGAACTGAAGTTGCTAATTGGCTGACCTTGAGGTGGGGAAATTAACCTGGATTACCTGGGTGGCCCACTGTTGTCACAAAGGTCAATCTAAGTGGAAGACAGGGGGCAGGAGAGAGTGAATGTCAGAGTGACGTGATATAAGAATCTGCCCCCCAATGCTGGCTTTGAAGACAGAAGGGGCCAAAATCAAAGCATCTAGAAGCTGGAAAGGACAATCAAATAGATTGTCCCAGAGGCTCCAGAAAGGAATGCAGCCAGACAACACCTTGATTTCAGACCCATTTTGGACCTCTGACCTCCAGAACTGTAAGACACTAAAGTTGTGTTGGTTTAAACACTTATGTTTGTGGTCATTTGTTACAGCAGCAATAAGGAACTGGTACACAGGTGAGAATGGAGAGAGGAAATCCAAGAATGGACAGTGCAGCTGGGCTCATCAAGGAATGGGAACAGTCAGGACCTGACCTTTCATCAGCCTTTTGTGATCTGTACCTGCCTTGATTCCACTAGAGGTCCAGTTTTCCCCTGGTGTTTTCATTGACCTACCGCAAAGAATGACAAGCTCTGTACCCGCAATACTGAATTTCCTCCTAGTTACAGACTCACAATTGTGACTCCTGGACATTTCTCCTGAACAATATTCAAGAGATATAATGTGACGCATACCATCTAACTCACTGGTTTGTTTTTTTTTTTTTGCGATATGTGGGCCTCTCACTGTCGTGGCTTTCCCGTTGCTGGATGCACAAGCTCAGCGGCCATGGCTCACGGGCCCAGCCGCTCCGCGGCATGTGGGATCCTCCCAGACCGGGGCACGAACCCGCGTCCCCTGCATCGGCAGGCGGACTCTCAACCACTGCGCCACCAGGGAGGCCCTAACTCACTGGTTTTTGTTCTCAGTCCCCAGATCTCATCCTCCCGCCTATGATTTTAAGTATCATTAACTAAAATGGAAACCTTGGTTGTGGAAACTGAGAACATGAGGGTCTAGGCATTCTTGAAGCTTTGGGATACTGCTGCCTGTTGGTGTAAAGTGCCTGAGCTGAGGCTCCAGTCTAGGTGAAAGTTCATGGATTTTGGAATTAGTTCTATTATACAAACAATGCAACAGTTGAGGAGCAGATCTGCAAAGTCTCTGGGGAGTTGAAATGCTTGGCACCTAAGAGGCTCAGGGGCACCTTTAAGTATGAGCTCAACATTTTTCAAATTACCACTAAATTATTAGAAAATCTGAAATCACTATTTAAAATGGATAACAAACCTGATAGATTGAATGGTGAGGCAAAAATCTCTCAACAACTCATAAGCAGCTCCTTCATTCATCCTAAACAAAACAACATTTTGAAAATTAGTGGTAAAAAACATTAAAGAATTTATTTCATATTGAAATGTTGGATTGGTCACTAATGGATTACTTTTGTCTGTCAAGATGTATTTACTAAAATCATTTCTTCCACAGACTCCCAGATGATTTAATCTGTGAGAATGACAATTATGAACTCCAGTCACAAGTTCACAACCAGAGATGATCAATGAACACGGGAGGCTGACCTTCTAGGAGGAGCCCAAGTCACAAAGTCCAGATCAGGAGCGTGAATGGGGCCAGAGAGTCAAAGAAAAGAATCAAGTGAATTACTCACTGATATCACAACTACTTTATTCACAATAATGAGTCCTACTGTCAAAAATGATCAGTGTTTCTCAAGAGGGTCAGAAGTTTTAAATACTTGAATTCACTGAAGATTGTTCAAAATGTATTTAAAATGCACACTGAATTCCCGATGGTGTGACAGAATTCCCCTCCCCCAACACACCCCCACACACGTCCATGTGCTCAGTGACTGGGCCAGTTTCTCCATTCCCAATAAATCTCTGCAACACTGTTTTTGAAAATGGTTTCCCTGCCAAGGAGTTAAAACAACTGTCATTGTCTCAGTCCTCAGCTGTGTGAATCATATTCTTTTCATATACTTCTGTCAGACAATGCAGAGCATGGCATTATTTGTTACTGTTTAATATCAATGTTTAAATATATAATAATAAATAGTACTAAATAAAAAACATCGGTGAACGTGTGCAAATATTGATAACTGTAGTGTAAATCTTTACGTCAAGTGAGTCAGCCTAAGTCTCAAGATTTTGCTGGTCAAACACGAATGACAATACCACCAAATGTATTTTCTCTTACCCTTAGTCTGTAAGAAAACATTTCAGTATGTTTCGCATGACTAACCTATACCTGAAATTATAAGAAGGTGTTTGCCTAATATTCATTACATTCATTTATTAGACGTAAAGATGCAGATGAAGATGGATATAGAAGTAGAACTAGAGGTAGAGGCAGAGGTGGAAATGACAGAGAGAGAGAGGTAGAGGTGAAAAGGATAGAGAGAGGTAGAGGTGAAAAGGATAGAGAGAGGTAGAGGTAGAGATGGGGATGCTGGGGATGACAGGGATGCTGGGGATGGCTGGGGAGGGAGATGGAGACGGAGACAGATAAAACACACCTGTTGTCCTGGACCAATCCTGTCAAGGAACCGTGTTTATAGAAATCGAGCGCATAAGCATTGAGCTGCATTCTTCTTCCTTGGAGATCAAATTCCTGTGGCCACAGCACAGGAGCCCGAGTGCTATCAATGCCAATGGTGCGCAGAGTGACCTGAAGAAATAGAGCTCTCCTTAATTTACTATTTATGTGTAAAGAAAGTTTATGATTTCTTACACTGTGCTTCATAGTTCCTTCCTAGAATCAACATGTTGAAAAAGCACACTCTTCACAGTGAAGGAAGAGCGAGTCTCTGATCCACTG